TAAAATACAAAATGCAAAACAGTTTTCCATTTAAGGTCATTGCAGTCATCTTATGTAGAGTATGACTCAACACTGAGTAAGTCTCCCTGTAACAAATTTTTTGAATTTTGATTGAACTATTCGCTTTGAATCTGTCTGAGCTGGCCAAACAGAAGTTTAGCAATCAGATAGTTGAGAAACTATCGAATAATTGCAGAGGAATTTGGGGTATGTACAAAGTACACTGCATGTTTATTTATCTCCTGCACGTAAACAGATGTAGCCATTTATACTGTTTGAAATGTTTTATGAAATGTTTAAAAATTTAGTTCTTCCATCGATGTATTCTCATTGTTTTCCAAATTTGTTTGTGAACAGAGTGTCTAAAGAAAACAGAACTGCTGGTATTCTTGAAAACTACGCTGAGGGGGAGAAATACGCTGAGCATGGCCTTCGCAAATTTGTTCGCAACAAGCGCCCTGAGATCATGCCATCCCTTAACAAGTTCTTTTCAGACCCACAATGAAGAAAGTTGCGATAAAGGGATATTTTGCTTCGTTTGCATTGCCTGAGTAATAATTACAGTTGCAAACCTCTGAACAATATATCAATAAAGATTATATTTTTAGGAGCCAGCATTTTTTTTAAGACCCTTTTCTTCAATGGAAAACTTTTTTTGAAATTACAGGGTATGGAGGTTGTTGTTAAAGAATAACTATTGGCATTTCTTAATGCCATTTCATGAGATTTCTGATCTTACCGTCCCCTCATTCTTCTTATTTCATGCGGTACATCTAATTTGCTGAGGACTCCTTGAATATGAAAGTCGATGAATCTTTGCTTTTGCATATCAATCTTAATCTGTTTCTGAAAAGTTTGTTTTTTGAGGGGAAGCTAGAAATAGATAGATTGAACTATGCTAAAATAAGAAAGTCTTTAAAAAAATTAAGGTTCTCACAAATTGGGATGTTATTAAACTTGGATTTTACTGAGGCCGATGGCTTGTTAGATTGGAATATTATTATGGAAGTCTTGAGAGCAAAATAGTCTGGTGATAGGTGGATTAAGTGGACCAGTTTATGCTCACATGGCGGTAAATCTGCTATTTTGGTTAATGGCAATCTAAGAAAATGGATTTGTTCTACGAGAGTAGCGAGACAAGGAGATCCTCTATCTCCCTTGTTATTTGTTTTAGCGGTAAATGTCTTTACCAGAATGATGATGCTAGCTGAGAGTCGAGGGTTAAGGTCAAGGGTTATGCCCAGAGAGTAGTCCTAGGAGTGCCTTATGTTTGCAGTGTGTCGACGATGCGCTTATCTTTTGTAAATCTAGAAAAGATCAGCTAACCGCTTTAAAATTGTTATTAGGTTACAGCTTCGGTGCTCCATGAAGATTTGTTGGAACAACCATGGCATATCTAATAAAATAAATCCCTTAAAAATAGCTCTCACATTTCTAGATGATAAATTTGACGGTTAGGAGGTGTTCCACACCCAAAAAAGTAATTAACTATGATTTCAATTAGGTAAAAATGTTATTTTAGAAAATAGAATTTAGGAGAGAAACAGAATTTATGATTAGTTAGAATTCTCCAACTAAACTAATATATCACATGTTATAATTTTAACCGGCGTTATCATGTAACCCTCCGCACTTTCCATTAGAAAAAAAAGCTTCGCACTTTCCATTAAAGCATAATTCTTCGCTAGACCTTATTCCCGCCCAGGGAAGAGACCGAGATCATAGGAACTCAAACCAAAGCCTCAATATCACCATAAACTCTGAAGATTCTCACCTCTCTTAAAATATTTGAAGATGCCTCCATTTTCAGAACCTGAAGCTTCTCTTAAATCCCCCCTCGCTCACATCCAAACCCCTCTTCTATGAACTCAATTCCCCGTGAAACATCCTCAACATGCTCCTCTTCTCTCCTCCTCCCTCTACTTCCTCTGCTTCCATTATCTCCGACGCCGTCGCTCTCTCCTCGCCAACTCGCATTTCCTGCCTGGTCTGGATGCAACCTAAGCTCAGTCTGCTCGTGGACAGGGAGTCCGCTGCAATCAAAATCAAACCAGTATTTCTTCAATCACCCTCTCAAACTCAAACATCTCCTACTCTTCATCCGTCAAAATCTCTGGCCTTCCGCACCTCGTCAACCTCTCTCTCGATGGTAATGGATTCTCCGGTACAGCCAGGATTTCGAATATGCCCAACCTTCGGTATCCGAATATATCGAACAATGAATTTAACGGCGATCTTGATTGGGATTACTCAACTTTGCCGAGCTTGGAAGTGTTCGATGCATATAACAACAATTTTACTTCTATGTACCTGTTGACGTCATCGAATTGAAGCGGATTCGTTATCTTGATTTTGGAGGGAATTTCTTTTACGGGAGAATTCGGGTAGAATGGTTGCTTTTAGGATAGAAAGAAAATAGAAGATAATTTTAAAAGACGAAAATACTCTTTCTTATTTTAGCTGATTTTTTATTTTTGTCAATTTAAAAATTTGAAAAAAAGCCTATTTCTGGAGCACCAAAGCAAACCTCTTAATTTAAAGGAAGATTAGATGCCTTTAAAACTATGGGTTGTTAATAGCCTACAGTTGGGGTTATTGACCAATTATGTAACCAACCTTTTTGAATAATGGCAGGTGGCTGGGGACTCTTTTCTTGATTCCTTTTATTTTATTTTATTTTTTCTTCCTTTTCACTCATGGAGCATATTTTCTGATTCTTTTAGCTTTATTTCCGTGATCAGTTTGTCTTCGTATCGATTTTTGATGATGCTTATATATGTTTTTTTTTCCCTTCTGAGTCATTCCTTACGACGAGAAAAGAATTGAAGAGTGCTAACAAGAGATAATAATATCTTAGTCTCAATTTCCTTGCTGATTAAATCTTATCTTATATTATTAAAGAGTTGCTTCTTGACAAACGTAATGAAAGGTGAATGCTCTGAGCTTGATTTGCTTAATGGGCCGGGTAAAATGTACAGCTGACCTTGCATCCATGAACCCAACGCCGACCCTTTTCAAACGGTGTGGGACACAGCGGACCCACCACTAAATTTTGACCGTTACCCGAAGGAATCCGATGGACCCAATTTAAATAACTAGCCGTTGCCTTTCCTTTCCCTTTTTCATACTCCTCATCGTTTCTCTCGCAACTGATCCTAACTTTAGTCCCCTTCATTTTCTCTTCACAGTCCAGGAAGAAGAAAAAAAAAAAAAGAAATCCTCTCTCGCTGATCTCCCTACTTCTATTTTTGAATGGCTTCAAGGACCCTCTCGAAGGACATCATCACCCTCAAGGGCTCGGCGGCCATTGTTAGCGAGTTCTTCGGTATTTCTCTCTCGTCCTCTCTCACCCCTTCTGATTTCTTGGGTTGTTTTTTTTTTTAACTGATACCCCCCCGTCTTCTCAATTTCACAGGTTACGCGGCAAACAGGTAAAAAAAAAATTCACTTTAAACCCTTTTCTAGGATCGGGATATTTTCCTTCCTTTGTTTCAATTTGGAATATATTTTTCAAGGGCTTGATGAATTGAATATAACATTTTGCAAAAAATAACAGTATTCTTTATAATCGGGGAGTGTATCCGGAAGAGAGCTTTTCAAAAGTGAAGAAATACGGGCTCTCGATGCTTCTGACTCAAGATGAGGGGGTCAAGTCTTTCATTACTAGCCTCACCTCTCAGTTATCAGGTTAGATTTTCTAAATCCCACTTCAATTTTTGAATTCTTCTGGGCTAATTTTTTTTATTACAAAATTGCTCTTTGTTTTGGTTCTCAAGAATGGCTGGAGGCTGGAAAGTTGCAGAGGATTGTTCTTGTGATAATGAGCAAGGCGACATCCGAAGTTCTTGAGAGGTGGAATTTCAATATAGAAACTGATTCTGAAGTGGTCGCAAAGGGGTAAAACATTCCTTCATCAGGAAATAAAAAGAGCTACAAATTTATAAATTTCCTATTTGCAAAAATTCATACTGAGGGGCAAAAAAAAATCTATTTCAGGGTCAGTAGGGAAAAGAGTGACAAGGAAATCATGAGGGAGATACAAGCAATCATGCGCCAGATTGCTTCTTGCATCACTTACTTGCCTTGCCTTGATGAACCTTGTAAACAGCTTGAATCTTTTTTTTTAAACACTTTTTCTCCAATTTTTTTTCTGTTGATTAGATTTGCTTTGCATTTGAAGGTGTCTTCGACGTGTTAGCCTATACCGACAAAGATGTTGCAGTCCCATTTACCTGGATTGAGAGTGATGCCAAATTGATCCAGAATCCGCAGATGGTTAAGCTACATTCATTTGACACCAAGGTAGCTTCTCTTCGAGTCAGTACATATCGATGTATTTTACATGTAATTTTGTTTCTAATATCGTAACTTTTCCTTCGTGTTTTTGTTGTTCAGATACACAAAGTTGGTACGCTGGTTTCGTATAAGAATGACGAGTGGGACGAGCAGTAGAATATTTTTTTGTGAGCTGATATCTTGTGAATTGTTCATTCACATTGAGTGTGGAGGTGTGATGAACAAAGAGTTTATTTTGTTAGCATTTTTTTTTTGAGTGAAATGTTGTTGCAGTATTTAGACTGATCTTTAACTTAGTTGAGTGTTGATGAGTTGTGTTGGAGATTTTATTATTGCATTTCTGGTCCAAAGATTTATGATTGTGTCTGTGCCAAATTTGAGCTCATTCCTTTTCTTTTGTCTAAAAAAGTGTGTACTCAGCAATGCAAAGCGCAAATAATGGAAAATGGTAAAAATGATGAAAGAAAACAAGACCAAGAACTTTAGGGAGTCCTCATATTTCTCTGCAATGGAACAGTTTGCTGTAGAGAGTGATTAGCATAATATTATTATTGTCATTTACTAGTAAGATTACACAATTATCTTTTGCATCCAATGCAACTATTAGATACATCGACAGTTCTTTAAGGACTGAGAAACAGGGACCCATTTCAAAAGAAAAAAAGATAATTTGCTCCAAATTAGATAGATGTCACACGTGAGGTTGTTGACAATAATATTACCATTGCATCCTCAAGTAACGTGCGCTATTCGTGGTGAGTAATTTGCTCCAAATTTACTCGGTGGAAATTAGAGGAATTCTTCATGATCATCAAGAAAAAAGAATTAGATGGAGGAGTTCTCCAAATTTACTCGTCTCGTCTGCCTTGTGTCGAGTTGAGAACTCGTCTCGTCCGCTGATGTCGTCCCTGTCCACTGAGATTGTCTCGTCCGCATGTTCCTTTGCCTCGTCCATTACTTGATCTCGTCCCGTCTCGTCCATGACTTGATCTCGTCTCGTCCATTACTTGACCTCCTGCATCAAAAAAGCAATCGTGTTTTTCTCTAAGTTCGCAAAGGGCACATATCTTAATAGAATATTTTGCATACATGACATGTTGCAGAATCAACTCATATCAAAGGGCTCCTCGAATTCACGAAGAAGATCACATGTAAATCCATGAAGAAATATCAGATAGGAAAATATTAACATAAAAGTAACGAATACTTCTAGGCTTAGAATCCTTCGCCTAATTAGAAGACACGACGGGATTAGAATTTTCTAAGATTAGAAATTCTTCAAAAACCATTTAAAAGTCTTGACTATAATAGAGGAAACAGATCAAGTAAAATTTGAATATAACCTAAAAGTGTTTAAATTCCACCACCGTTTCATAAAACTTCTTCAAAATTGAAAAGTATTGTCTTTTCTTCACGGTTAAGTCAACCACTCATCTAGAGTTCTGGACCACGTGTCCTACATTAACACAAAGCACCCAAGATCCTTCCCTAACCAATTAAAACGCATCGAGAACACCGAACCAACGGCCAGGATCACTCCTTTTATTAGTTGATCTCCTCGCATCGACCGACACGTGTCCAAAAGATAGTCCTTCGCATAAAATTCTCCTTTTTTTAATTAGTCGATCTCCTCGCAGAGAGAGGGGAGTTCTTCGCATAAAGAAACACCCCCATGCTCCTAAAAATAGTAAAATTCTAACGTTGCTCGCAGCTCTTTCCTCTCCGCCCAAGAGAAGAAAGAGGAGAGAAAAAAAAAATTTAGGGTTTTGTCTCAATCCGCCCTCTCCGAATTCACCCCTGGTCGTGGATCAAGGTTAGATTTTGACACGCTTTAGTACGATAAAATTTGGTTTAGTTGCTCTGATTGAACGATTTAGGGTTTCTCAAGTTGTCTTTTTTTTTTTGATCGGATTACGATTTGGATTTGGGGATTATGCAGGGTTAGGTGTTGTGTCTGGTATTCAATTATTCAATCGTTGCTCAATCTGAACAAGAGGCTCGGTGAAGTTTTTGGTGCTAAATTTTTATTGCTATCGAAAATTGAGGCTTTTCTTGTGAGATCTAGGGTAGAGAATAGCAGCGGGAAGCGGAAGAAATTTTTAATTTTTTTGGTTTCTTAGGATTTCTAGGATGACCCTGAATGTATCATCCTACCCGGGTTTTCCGGCTTCAGTCTGCTCTGATGATGATTTTGATTGGACGATTTGGGATATCGGGACGGAGAACTGTGGCAAACCTTGTTTGTTGAATCGGGGGAAAAGTGATTACTATGAGAATGTAGAGGGAAGAGATTGGGTCGACCCGATTGATTTGTTACCGGCTGATCCGTTTGGGATGGGCCTAGGTTCCAATCTTGCTGCAGCCATTGTTGGTTGGTTTGAAGATCTTGGAGCTAATTCAAGTGATCGTAAGTTTTATTGTTGGAATGGGGATTCTCGAAATGCTTCTGGTGGTTGGTTTGATGATGGGTTCTTTGGAGTATCTGGAGGCCAAAATGGCACGTTTGAGTTTGTTGTTGGGGCTGAGGAGACTTCGACTGCTACGGTTCCTGCAGAGGAGTCTTATCCACATGAGGGTTTAGTACTCTCTCTTGGTTATTTGGGTGTGCAAGATTTGCTTTCTGTCGAAAAGGTGTGTAGATCACTTCGTTCGGCTGTTCAGAGCGATCCTTTGCTGTGGAGATGTATTCACATTGTTTCTCCTTTGAGTGCGAGGATAACGGATGATACTCTTCTGAGGTTGACACGAAGAGCTCATGGAAGTTTGCAGTGCTTGAGCTTGGTAGGATGCTCGAGGATCACTGATGATGGGTTGAAGAAGGTTCTTGAGAGCAACCCAAGACTTCAAAAGGTTGGTTAAGAAAATGCTTTTTATTATGGACTTGATTCATAAGGTCATTTGTCGCGTTTCCTAGTCTTGTTGTTACTAGTTTGTTCTTTTGTTATTTGCAATTTTGTTTATTTTTCGTGATTGTGCTTGTGTAAATCATAGTCTTTTTCATTTTCTAGATAGATTCCTTATCTGATTAGTTGTTCCTTGACGTCAAATGTTTCATTGTTGTGTTTTCAACTTATTTAGGCATTCTTTTGATAGTAAGTTATGTTTAGTCATTGTGTATTCTTGCTAGGAAATAATGGTAAAATTTTGCATCTCTTGCAATTTAGGGGCATTTTATTTGCTTGCTCATTCTATTACGTTTAACATAGAGATGCATACACTGTAGCCTAATGGTATGATCATCTTCATTTTGATGTAACATCACACTACACTAGAATGGAGAACCGATTTGGAGTAGCGTGGCAGCCCGAGTCAGAGAGCTGTATTAGTCATTTTTTTTCTCTAATCTCTCCTTTAACCTCCTCCTACTCTACTGTACTCCTCCTTTTTCTCCCCTTCCTCTTTATGTATATTCTGTTTTTTATAATTTTGTGGGCAGCTTCCCCGCATTACTTAGCAAAGACCCCGTGCTCAAGTTAATTGCACTTCTTTCATATCACAAAGAGCTTTAAAGTTCCATTTGTTTCTGTTTCCTGCTGTCAAGTGAAGATAGATGACAAATTTACTGGGGGTTCTCAGCGTTATTAGCTTTGTAAGGTTTCGTTCATTTGGTAGTTTCCTGATTAACTCTTTATTTCCTTTTGGTAGTGTATTATTCAAACCATTTTTCATCCATGCTTTGAAATGGACACTATTCACCATATGGTTTATGAGTACGTATCAAATTTTCCCAGTAAACTTTTAAATTGGCATCTGGATTTGAAACTTGATTACTGCATAGAGGTTCCAAAAGTAGCCTTGGATGATTCACAACAGAAGTTATGTATGGAATAGCTTTAATACTTGGTGTTTTTTCCTATTAAGCATTCTAATTATCCTTCTATTTCCCAAACTAAGTCGTACTCAAGGGATGACATGCTTTTACATTGGTACTCTTTATTTCTCTATGCAGTTGAGTGTATCGGGATGTCTCAGGCTAAGTTTGGATGGTGTCATTAGCAATCTCAAGGCTTTCAAGTCTTCAGGTTTGACGGGGATAAAACACCTCAAACTTGGCAGACTGTTTACTGTATCACCTGAGCAATATGAAGAGTTGTGGATATCACTTGGCTGTGGTGATGAGACAGGGAAGCCTAAGCTATCGAACCCAAGGTTTTATCATTGTAGCGTCTCTTCAATTGCCTGTGATGATGATCGTGCACTTGATATTGAGTTATGTCCTGGATGTCAGAACTATAAGCTGGTTTTTGATTGCCCTTCAGAAAGTTGTCAAGCGAAAGGGCCGGAGAGCTGTAGGGCATGTTTTGTTTGTATTGGGAGGTGTGCGCAATGTGGGAGGTGTGTGAATGACTGCAGTTTTGTGGAAAATTTCTTCCTTGAATATATTTGCTCTGGCTGTTGGAAGCAAGCATCACCAAGTTCTCATGAGTGAAAAGGTTTTTGGCATGCTTTTGTTTTCTGAGATGTGGCGTCATATGAAGATGGACCTTCTAGCCATATGTATGTGCACAAGAATAGATGTTAAAAGCCATGTAAAAAGAACGAATAAAAAGGAGGAAAAAGAAAGAATATGAAGATCCCAAGTTGAAGTGTCAGCGAGGGGGAAAAAGGGATAGCTTGTGTTTGTAACATTTTGAAGTTCCACGAGCATCTTTGAGGTAGCTGTGACTGTGAGGATGATATCTTCGAAGTTGAGGTTTGAAGATGATGGTTTTACAAGTTTTTTATTGACTATGATTTTCGACGATATATGTGCACAGCAATAGATGGAAAAAAACCATAAAAAAGAACAAGAAAAAAGGAAAAAAATAAAAAGAAAAAAAGAAAAAAAGAAGAAAACTATGACAGCCCAAGTTTAAGTGTTAGAGAGAGAAAAAAGGGGATAGCTTGATGTTCGTAAGATCTTGAAGCCATGAACATCTTTGATGTGATTGTGAAGCCTTGAACATCTTTGATGTGATTGTGAGGATGATATCGTCAGTGATGAGGTGCATTGATTTTGGGTTCTCTAGGTTCTTGCTGGCTGAATATTTCTAACCTCTTTCATACCTATATTACCTATAGAAATATTCAGTCCATCTTTCTTACAGGGTTGCTGTTGATTACATGGAGATGCACAGAGTCCAGTGGATGGTTAGACTTCTCGAGTGCCAGGCCACAGGCTATTAGTACCGATGGATGGTGGAAGCAGAGCTTCTTGCCATATATTATACAATGTTGAGGATATTTTTTGCCTTTCACATGCTAGTATTTGAGTATGCTCTCACTGGGCGTGTAGAGGTTATTGAAGTGTAGCAAAATGTACTTTGCTCTTTGGTTGTCTTGGCAAGTTTTGATGTTGATATTGTATGGACATGGGTGGTTGTGATCGAACGAGGGCGTGCAACCTGATTTGTGTCGTACTGTCTATTACAAATGATGATATATTGATAAAGGTTATATATGAGGAGGAAAATTGTCTTTGTATTTTTATGAATATTCTTTAGTTGGAACTCTGTCTCTCAACTTGAGCTTACATGTTCTGTGTTTATTTGATGTTCTGTTTATACTGAAGGGTTCGCAGATGAATGATGCAGCTTCTCAACTTTCGCGTAAGTTCTTTCGAGTTTGTAGTTTTAAGCGTGTGCTTCTTTGTTGGTTTCAGATATTTGAGCTTTATTTTTGAGATGTCAAGCTTCAGAAACTGTGGAGTTTATATGCTCTTAGTTTCTTCCGTTGGGCTTTTCCCAAATTTGTGGCCTTTTCTCTCAATCCTGCCTTCTCTTAGCTGGCAACTGCTTGTACCTTCTCTACAGCGACAGCTTAGCTGGCAATTGCTTGCTTGGTTCCTACAGTGTTTTTTTTTCAGTTTCGTGTTGTTGTTCATGCTGAAAACTTGTGTGTTTGGTTTTGATGTGCATCATTCAACTACTCCTAGCTGTGGCTTATGGAATTGAGCAGCTACTTTGCCCAATACATACCTTAGGCCAATGCCTGTGTAGATTCATGTTGTTAGTTACATTTTCTACTTATGTTTTGCATAAGATATCCACATTAGGGTACATTAAGATCTAGATGCCCAAAAGTTCTTGGCATGATTAGGTTTTTCTTAGCTCAAACTCAGAAATTCAAATGTAGCTTGAGAGCAGGATTCATCAGGGTTTGCCTCGGTATGTGCACTCGGTTTCATATATAGCATGCTTTTCCTCACTTACAGTAACATTCCTCTTTCTGTGTAGATTCATGTTGTTGGTTACAGTCACTAGTTATGTTTGCATGAGATATCTACATAAATAGGGTACAACAGGATCAAGACCCCTAAAAGTTTTTTTTTATCGCATGATGAGTTTTTTTGTAGCTCAAACTTAGTAATTCAAATATCGCTTAAGAGGAGGATTTATCAAGACCCACCTCCGTAAATGCACTCGATTTCGTATGTATGTGCTTCTCTTCAATCAGAATAACATTCCTCTTCCATATTGCTTTCTATGTAGAACACCTCAGATCATTATTATAACAGCTTTATGGATTAGAAGAAGAATCCTAAACAGGACCACTAACAATATTTGTGGCTCCTATTTACATTATCTAAGATTAGAACTAGACGTATAAATGGCGGCAAGATCACATCTGATTATGACCATCCATTCATAAATAGACTGAGCAACTGAAAACACCCCAAAATTGGTTACCCTTGAAAATTGTCTATAGAAAAGCATCAGAAGAAGAGATAAGACTTCATAAACATGGAACCTTTCAAATCCGAAGAGAGTTCATGGGCAGATCAATGGGACTATAACAGTCCAGATCCCCAGCCACAACAGGCTTCAACGGCGAATAAGAAGGGCAAAGATGCAAAGGCGAGAGAAGCGTTCAGGAAACTGAAGGCCCGGATCAAAGAGCTCTATCAGAAGAGAACGAAATAGGCTTAGACCGACAATTCTATGTTCTCTGAATCCCGAATCCTTGTTGCTCTTACTATAATTATGTTCCTTCTTTTTAAGCATGTTGTTGATCCATGTTGCAATGTAACTCGAATGGAATTGTTGTTTTTATTATTTCAGATGCCTGAATTTAAATGGATTGTTGTCATCGCATCGTGTAAGTTAAATGTATCATATAAGTTCTTGATTGATTTGCAAATAAATCGGCAAGGCTCTTCATATGCATATGAGAAGTCCATCTGAAGATAATAACATCATTCAAGTTGCTGTCTAATCCAACTTATGGATAAATTTGCTTCGAAGTATGAAAGGGAGTATCTCACAATTTCTTAAACAGAAACAAACCTGGATGAGAGTTTCTAAGTAGTACGATACAATGTCTTTACATATCAAATACAAAAGATTATATGTGAAAAAGACATGCGTTTTAGGTCCACATTACCAGTCTCTGGTTATGAGATCGAATTGTTCACGACTCAGAAACCGTGGGGTGAAAACGATTGCTGCATATTGAGAATATGTTTCATGAAAGGCAAGAATCACCAGAATCACATATTACCAGATAAGCAAGCGATGGGCGCCATTTGATCCTACAAGAAGCAAGAGGATATGTGTCATGAAAGATTAGGACTTTGTTAGTTTATACAAGGGAATGCGAAACATTAGAAGCTAAAATGGAACTCTATTATACCAAGTTACCTTCTTTCAGATTGATGAGTGTACCTGTCAGGTTCTGAAGGAGTTCTGTGATTTAGGATACTGCTGCTCATATCTGTATCTGTAAAGCAAAAAATAAACCCAAGAGATTGATATATGCATTGCCAATAAAATTTATTGAAATGGGTTTTGTTACGTTAGTTTCCTGAATCTTTGCTAATTCTATATTAGACCCCAAAACTTTATATTTCTAAATTAGGCCCCCAAATCCATTAAATTATTTTAATAATAAGACCCCAAAAAATATATTAAGTCGTTTTAAATAAGACTGTCAAATCTATTAACTTGTTTTAAATAAGACCCCCATATAGAATACACCAAGATTTTGGGATTCTAATAGAATAAAAACCCTGTCGAAATTTGTAAGATGGAATTTTATTCACTGAACCTTCGACCTGAATTTGAGCACTACATAGTCATTCTCAAACGGTTTACTTTCTTAGTGGTGCCAAAAATGTGCACATTGTATTTCATTCGTTGTGTATGTTAAACTAGTTTCCATCTAAGCAATCAAAGATGGATAATATGATGAATATAGCTGATTCCAAGTTAAGCAGGGAAATTCCTTCAGGAGTTGCATCATTTCTGCAATAATCACGGAAGAAAAAGAGATGGAAACAACAAAAGCAACCAAGCTTTAGTAAGATAGGGTGGCCCAGTGCACGAGGCTCCAGCCATTGTAGATCTCTGGGGAGCGTCAAACACATGCAGCCTTACCCCTCTTTGCAGAGAGGCTGTTTCCGAGATAGGGTGGCCCAGTGCACGAGGCTCCCGCCATTGTGAGCCTCTGGGGAGCGTCAAACATATGCAGCCTTACCCCTCTTTGTGGAGAGGCTGTTTCCGAGATTCGAACCCGTGACCTCCAGGTCACAAGGCAGCAATATTTACCATACCATTGCGCCAAGACACCAAGATTTAGTAAGATCAACCACCAAAATGGTAATCAATAAATATAACATTAATGGCATGAGAGTGAAACAAATACAACGGAGCAAATTTCTCCGACAATCCAACAACAAACAAACTATCTAAAGAATTCCACATGACCTCCAATATCTCTACACAACATCCTCGACTCTCTCGCCAATTTCCTACTCCTCGCAATGACTAAGCTTGTCAACTCATGCTTCGAAGAAGGTTCATACGCTTTAGCCTCAATTTCCTTTCCCAGTAGTATGGCCTCTCTTGCTGGCACAACATTCCCAAACCAAAACTCATTAAGAATTCCATGCATAAGCTCCCAATACTCCCGGTCACGAACAACCCTAAATATTGAACTCCCGTTTGGAGTCCAACAATACAAATCAACCCAATCTCGGTCCATAATCTCCATTTGCCCTTGCACTTGCGGCATATAATAGTAAGGCATTGCATTCCACGGCAATGCAAGCTCTGGCTTCCCTTTGTTATAAGGACACTTCACTTCTAAGATCCCATTGTTAGGATAACAATCCAAGAGTCCATCTGGGGAGGCTCCAAGCCACCCAAATTTGGCCTCGGCATGTACTGCAAAGCCCAATAGGCCCACATCACGACCCGTTATGCTTTTGTATTGCTCAATGGCTTTGGCTTCATTCACTACACCCCAATTCATTGCAGCTTTGGCGGCGGAATCTAATGTATCAGTAGTAGGTGCATATACCTTTTCATACCAGAGTTCTGAGCGTCTGTTGCCCTTCCAGAAGCCTAAGGCAGTGCTGAATGTGCTCGTGGTTAGCTTGTCCCTTCGAAGAGAGAACCACTCATCTGAACGCTGAGGTGCGTCCGATGAGGTGAGCTGGCAAAGAATTCGTGGTGATGATGAAGGAGATGACGGAAAGGAGGAAGTGGTGCATGTCCGAGGAATGTAGCCTTTGGGGTTGTTTTTTCTTGGTAACAGGAGTTTAGAACGGGTGAAATAAGGGTGGGCCATTGAAGGAAGATATGAGGACCCTAACAAAGTCATGCACAGCTTGATGGTTAGAACTTTGAAGATAAAATATTATAGAAATAAAAATGTTGTACGTGAGATTCTACTTAAGAAGCAAAGCAAGAAGATAGGAAGTTGTTTACTTGAAGCGAACACTAAGAAATATCAAATAGAAAGCAAAGTATCTTTGCATGTTAGATGTTACGGTATAATAAACAATAAACTGAGACGTTTTTGAGCAACCATTTTACAATGAAAAGATACACAGAAATCAGATGGAAAAGGAAACTTATCCCATGATGTTGACAATATGGTAGAGTGCTCCAAAAAAGAAATGCTACCATTTTGCTATAAAAAATAAATAAATGTAGGACGATAAAGTCGTAGAATTGCAATATCTCATTATCGAACTGTGGTTTAAATCCTCAATAATTATAAGGTGAAGAAACAATGGGCGTATTGGATGCTTTTCTTGCAAGAAGGTTCAGCATCCATCGATCTTTCGTTCGTTATACGCAATGACTTACGTGTAAAAAAGCATCAAGGCGCACAATTTGACTACAACTCCACACATTTCAGTAAATGTTCCCTCACTACATCCGGACGCTGACAACAAACTTCATCAACTCCATGTTGATTCTAGCCGAGTCAGTCAAATTCGCATGAAACAGTTGGACATCAAGAGCATTCGAAACTAAACTATATGCCAATAACAGATTCTCATGGTAAGCAAGAGATTACACACTCAAAGAACAGTGTAAGTTTCATCCGCCTCGCGCAATATCAATGCCTGAACCTCTATATGACAAAGCTAAAGGCCATATACATTACTAAAGAGAAATCTGTAAATTGCCAATATTGGTATCCCAAAAAAAAAACTCGAAATGTGAAGGTGGGTAGTGCAAATAAGCCAAGCATATCTCAACAATCCAACTCCAATGGGAAGTGGGAACCCAATCAACAAGCCAATCTCAACCATCATCACAAAAACAAAAAACCCAGATGAAATTATCCCAGAACAAGCAGAACCCAAGTGAGAAGCAACCACAAGGAGATGGAAGAACTCGCAGGGGAAGCAAAAGGGAAGGACTTTGCACCTGAGAGAGCTCGAAGGGGAATATGAGCGAACACATGGCCTGCATGATTGGGCTGAGATGAGGAAGAAGGCAAGAGAGAGCAGCAAGGGGAAGCAGAGAGCAATCTCATTTCATCTATCAATGCTATGGAGATTCTTTTTTCTTTTTTCCTTTTCTTGTTGGGGTTTAATTTGTCAGAGATATTGGGGGTCAAAATGGCAAAGGCCTGCTTTGCGCAAGATTGAGTAGAGGATGGATTTGGAGCATTCAGTAAGACATAAAAAAAATGTTCAGGGGGTTATGTGCCAAGCTCAGAAATTTGGTTGCCTTTCTGGCCAATCAAAGCCCATCCAATGCAGGCCCAACTAAACTCTCAGTGCTTCGGCCTACTTCTATTTGTTGTGGGAACCTTTTGGTGAATTGAAATTGGGTTTTGTAAGAAAGAAAGATTAATTATTTCTGAGCCCAGTTGCGGATTAACATTGAAGCACTTTGCAAATGACTAGGAAAAAGCAAAAGAAGGTTTAATTGCAGTCTATCATACTGAAAACATTATTCTCAAAATTATGTGCAATTTATGCAAAAACCCTCCTTTAAATATAATGAGAAATTGGCGAACTACTCTTAAAAGCACAAAACAACGCCAACTAAGCACACAACACAATGTCACATAATGTCATTAGTGGGTTGCAGGTGTCCCGTCAGACGTAACATTATTAACTATGGGGGGTTTTCTGCAAAAGTCATTAGTGGTTTAGTGTGATTTTGAAAGTTATTGGAAGTTTAGTGTAATTTTTGAAAGTCCGTGAAGGGTGTAGTGTGATTTTGAAAGTCACTACAAAACCTATGGGGATTTAGTGTAATTTAACATTGATTAATAGATGATCTCTAAATTGTAGCCTATAAAGAAATATACCAATCATTTCTCTTATTACACTAGGAAATCTTAAAAATAATTTAATGTATTCAAAGGAGGTATAAAATTGAGATAACATTAAGGGGCATGAGCGTGAAACAAATACTGTAGCAGGTAGGTGATTATTGTGAAAACAGTGACTTTCCATCATAGAACGGGTGAAATAAGGGTGGGCCATTGAAGGAAGATATATATGAGGACCCTAACAAAGTCATGCAGTACTGCTTGATGGTTAGAACTTTGCAGATAAAATATTATAGAAATAAAAATGATGTACTTGAGATTCTACTTAAGAAGCAAGCAAGCAGATAGGAATTAAGTTGTTTACTTGAAGCGAACATTAAACGCCCCGTTTGGCAAAGGGTTAAAGAGACGGATTAATATATTTAGCTCATTCGATAATCTGAAGAACTAAATTATTAATCCGTTAAATACGTTTTATTTTAGCCATTGTGATCAGTTTTAGTGTTTGGGAATAACAATGATATTGACTATTTTCTTTATAATTAGAATGGTTAATTCTTAATCCTTCAAATTAGGAGTATTAGTAAACTCATCATTTTGAAGGGTTAACTTATTTTAATCCCTCTAGAGGGGTTAGTTTAGAGTGGTTAGTTTAACCTTTCTATATTTTTATGTTTGACAAATTATAAAGGGTTAGCTCACTTTAACCATTGTATAGATTTTTTGTGTTTGGCGGGTTAAGAAAGGGTTAAGTCTTCTTAACCCTTCACTTAACCCTTTGCCAAACGTTGCCTAAAAAAATATCAAATAGAAAGCAAAGTATCTTTGCATGTTAGCGTTACGGTATAATGAACAATAAACTGATACGTTTTAATTTGGGCAATCGTTTTACAATGAAAATTATAATAAATGAAGGACGATATAGCACAATGCTCCAAAAAAGACATACTACCATTTTACTATAAAATAATAAATGTAGGACGATAAAGTCGTAGAATTGTAATATATATCTCATTATTGAACTGCGGTTTAAATCCTCGATAATTATAAAGTGAAGAAACAATAGGCATGTTGGATGCTTTTCTTGCAAGAAGGTTCAGCATCCATAGATCTTTTGTTTGTTATACGCAATGACTTGCGTGTAAAAAAGCATCAAGGCACACAATTTGATTACAACTTCACACATTTCAGTAGTATTAGATTTTATACACGTGCAATGTACAGAGTTAAATACTTTAAGTATTTTTGGCTAATTTTTAACTATTTTTTCTATGTTCCACTTTAATAGTTTATACTCACTTTTGTCTTTAAACTTTAATATTATGATTATTTATTTTCTTTGATGTTTTTATAAATGGACTACACCCAATTTAAATTTTTATGTTGATATTTAAATTGATAGAAAACAAATATAATTTGAAGCTAATTTGAATTTTTATATTACTTTAACTGATATGAAACCAATCTTAATTTATTTGAGAAAGTATAGTGTTACAAAAGTGAAAAATATTAAAATAATATTATGCAAGGAAGATGAATATTTAAAATCAATAAGGCAAAATAATTGGTTAAAAGTATGTTAAAACGATACAAAAGAGAATATGAAGTTTGTTCCTAATCATTGATAGACTTCATAAAAAAAAATAAATTAAAGATTAATACTAACTCTTGTATACTTTCATATGATAAAAGCATCTGCACAAGCATATAAAAGTACTGGAAAAATCTTATGAAACTCCCTTCTAAATATTCCTAAATTCACTCAAAATAATTAAACTATTCTATTAAATATTCAAAAAATATTATCTTTTACTCCTTCTGTTTTATTTTTTTATTGAGCTAAGATCGATCCTTCCTCACCTTTATCTTTTTCTGGACAATTCTAGAGTAGTGTCTTCATCATCTACTCGATTGTGACATCATGTAAGAGTTGCATTTTTTTGTGCTGTTATATTTCCTGGGCTCGTTTATATTTTATCTTGTCGTTTATCTTCATAAAGAAGTTAAATGTATTTCCGATGTTCAACATAAATTCTTGAAATACATACTTTAAATTTTTTTTTCAATGATAATAAATATTAATTATATATATATTAAATTCTTTGTATTCCTAATTTATTACTTAAATAATATTAGGATCTACCTCTTTTTTCTCTATAATGAATTCTTATGATGTGCACCAACAATAGTTTTGTTATGACAATAATATTACATTTGCTCTATCTTTGTTATTTTCCACAAAAATCTAAACTAAATACTTGTATTTTTATTACCAATTTGCTTTATATTATAATATTAATATTTTTTTAGTATTTAAAGAACAAAGTATGATATTTATGAATGTTTACTAATTTTTCTTATATCTCCCATGAAGAACTTTTCTTTGATTAGAATAAAGTTATTAAATTATTCTTTAATGTAACTCAGTTTGTGCTTCTTTAATAAACATGTCTCATGTTAATGTCAATTCAAATGATTCGTGACCGTTTTTTAATTTTAAATTTATTTCCGTCACTTTCCTATTTACAATGAAAATAGCTTGATTCTTTTGAAGTATATCTCTGAATATTCTAATAGTTTCTCCATATGTAATTCATTATATTCTTTTACCTTATAAATATTATTAATATCAGATATTAATATTTTTAAATTATAATTAATTAATGTTAAACTATTATATTATAGTCTTTTATTATTTTTATGTATTTAAACATCTATCAATTAATGTTACTAATATGTTTTGTTGCTCCAACTTATTACTAAAATTTTATGCAGTTGCTTTAATTTATACGGTGTTAATAATTTTTAAGCTATAATATTTTTTAAATTTTTATTCCTTAATCATATATTTTTAATCAATTCTTATCACTTTTGTTTACCATTATCAATGCTTTGACTATCTTTTAGTGCTAAAAAGGATAGTAAACGCGTAATTGAAATTAGAATATATTATATATATATATATATATATATATATTATATATATATATATATATATATATATATATATATATATATATAATATATAGAGAGAGAGAGAGAGAGAGAGAGAGATGGTATGCTTGGTAGCCAAGCACAAAAGTTATGCTTGGTAGTGATGTGTCACATCCCCTCCAAATGGTTACGTGTCACATACACTCCTCACCTCATTGTGAATGTGGTCCCCCATTTGTGAGTGGATGAGATTGTGCCACTCACTATCAAGCACAAAATTTGTGCTTGGTACCAAGGCATACTTATATATATATATATATATATTATATATTTATATATAAATTATAATATATATATATATATATTATATATATATATATATATATATATATATATATATTATATATATATATATATATATATATATATTATATATATATATTATATTATATATTATAATTATATATATTATATATAATATAAGTATGCTTGGTACCAAGCAAAGTTTGTGCTTGATAGTGAGGTGGCACAATCCCATCACTCATTCAAATGGGGACAATATTTACATGGGTGAGGAGTGCATGGAATATACAACCATTTGAATGAGTGGAGGGGATTGTACACATCACTACCAAGTACAACTTTTGTGCTTGGTACAAAGCATCATATTCTATATATATATATATATATATATATTATATATATATTATATATTATATATATATATATTATATATATATATATATATATATATATATATTATATATATATATTTGGAAAGTGTTTCTAAGGTGATGCCTTAGATAATTATCTAAGGACGCGGCCTAAAATCATATGATTGAGCTACATTGTGGATGATCCGCTCCGTTGAAACTTGATCTACATATTCTAAAACCCCAACACACCAAGTTTGGGGTGAACCCATCATCGTTTGACCCTCCTCGAGCCATTGAAAAGTTCTATTCATTCGAACGTTAAATTGATACGAGTGGATGAAGGGTCAACGAGATGATTCATCCCAAACTTGGTGTGTTGGGGTTTAAGAATATACTAGATCAAGTTTAACGGAACGGATCATCCACAATGTAGCTCAATCATGTGATTTTAGCCGCGTCTTAGATGATTATCTAAGGCGTCACCTTAGGAACTTTCTCACTATTAATATATATATATATATATATATATTAATGAAAGAATGTCTAACAATTACACTTTTCTTTGCCAAGTTTTAAAACTGCAGCCTTTTTTGTGGCTTTAAACTTTGAGAGTGCGATTTGTAATTTTTAAAACTTTGGATGTATTTTATGTATTTTATAAATTACTTTTGAGTTTGATAGCTGTAACTTCTATATTTCATGTATCGATGATAATTTTTAAATGGCACGATATTTTTACAACTCTAAAATTTTAAGACTGCTTTTTGCAATTGTTCAAACGGTAGATTAATTTTTAAAAATTTTAAATATCAA